CTACAGAGTATGTTCTCATAATTTTCAACACTCACTCTCACACGATACCCTAGTTCGTATGAGTAGAACTAGAAATAGGTGGCTAAAATATAGTTATTCGTATGTTATCCATTTACAAAATTAAAAATGCATCAAGACGCATCTATCTACATAACGGTCGATGTCAACTCTGAAAACCGTTACACATACAAAAATACCAACGATTATCTTACAATTCTATATACAATTCTCAGTGAAATCACAAAATATACCTCAATCCCCAATTACTTAAACAATTAAGCAACGCAAGAAGCTTTAACTCATTTCTTAACTAAACGGAAAGTCGTGAGCGTCTAGTTTACTATTGCAACTAAAATGTAAACTCGCGCTAAAAAGTTCACGTGCTATTTTTCGAAATCTCTGCAAATGTACGTCGCGATTAGTCACACGTGGCTATGGTTTTGTGGAAATTGACCTTAAAACAAAACATGGGCGAACTCTTTTAGCCAATAACTTTTCTTTGACTCAATTTTATTTATTTTTTCAGTAGATTTTAGCAAATTTTGCCACATTTGACACGATAACAGTGATAAAATCTACCAAAAATACAAGGCGGTGCAGTTTAAGTTACACGATCTCTATTCTATAATGAACAGTGCAGATAGCAAATATCTATTTCATTGGAACTAAATTTAGCTTTACATCTGCATCGTACATTACTTCATGTTGGAAATCACTAATTTGCAAGATCAGCCTTTAAGTCGAATTATTGTTTCTAAAACCAAATTAATTCATTTTTATATATAACTTGTCTTTGCTAATTCTAGTGTGTATACAGATAAATAAATACGATATCATTAATAACCTAAGATGAAAAACAAAACAAAGATGTGCTTTACCCCAAACACTCTGCAAACTAAGTAAGGCACCTTTTTGTTTTTCATGCGGATCTTAGTTTATTAATTTTAATATCTTTATTATAAACGGTTTACCGCAAGAAACGCCTGATTTATATAAATAAATATTTTACATCAAGTACTATCAAATTATTTCTGTCCATTCGCTATTAACAAAAACATAAATGCACGTAGCACTCAAGTGCTCGTTAACTTAATTTCGGTACTCTAGTACCGCAGCACGTGTACGTTTCACGTCCTCACTGTACCGTGGTTAAGTCTCCGATACATTCTAGTTCTACCTACAGATACCTTCTCTTGTACATTAATGCATGTAATAAAATAATCTTTTCCATATATATTCTTAAATTACATTCAAACTTTATAACCTTTTAGCACTAATTATTCACAATAAAACACATATATTGTACTACAAGCCGCACGCAAAAGGTTTCCCGGTAATGACCCCTCCTCATTTCCGCTGATCGCAACACTGAAACGTGGCATCATGACTCTGCAAACCTTTGTGAGCGGGTTATACGTGTACGTTGATAGATACAACAAAAAAATTTGGTGAGGGAAATTTTAACACACTGACATAAGGTACAAAGTTCATTGGTGTACATCAATTTTAGAGTCCGAAGAGTTTAGCAAAAAGTCATTTCATATATACATGTTATCTGAATTATAAACAATATTTATATGTTATAACATGAAGTATTACATCAACACTTAGCACATTGAAGTTGAAGTAATATGTACCTAATAAGTACAAGAACAGACACCGCGAATATAATTTGTTACAGTGCGGCGCGCGTGGAAAAAGATATGGAGTAGCTTTTACAGAGTACAGTAAGTAAGTGCCAGTTCTCTAACTTGTGTTGCAAGTGGCTACGTCTCGGCGTTTCTTCCAGTACGTAGTACGTATTACTTTAATGACTTCGAATTAAAAAATATGTTTGTTTTAAAAAGAATCTGCAGGATGAATGAATTTTCTTTACTATCTTCTGCGTGATCCGCTGTTCAGACGGGAATAGAAACGCTTTTTTCTTTTAGGTAACTTATTCCCCCGAGTTAAAAGTTCCCGCTGTTCACTTGAGATATTATGGTCTGTGTGCCTTCTGATCAAAAACAAACGCATCGCTCTATTTATTTCAGTAATGAGTATTTGAATTTGCGCAGGTCTAGCCCCAAGGCAATGAGGCCTCTTTCCGATTTATTCAATTTCCAAATAAATGTAAAAATCGTATCTAAGACAGTGGGGCCCATAGTATATATTTGTAAGGAATATGATAGATGATCTTACAAATATCAATTGATAATCGGAGAAACACAACTTTTTACACAGACACTCTACAGTGTGTAGTAACTGGTTGCTTCGTGACCTGCTTGGGGTAAGAACCTGCACTCAGTAGACTTACCACCAAAACACCATACTTGTTAGAAGATAGGGAAATTGTATATCAGTGTATAAAAGATAACTTCTGGTGTTATATAGAAAAACTGCAGTGAGAGGATCAGCAACAATTTCACTAGGAAATGTCGGGCTAGGAGAAATGTATGTTGTATCAGCATGCTGTAACATTGAAGTCGCTATGGTATATGCTTGTGAAGCATGCGTCACCCACCCATGTCATATTCACATCAAACAATATAAAAGTGTCTGGCACAACAAGAGTTTGAATCCAACTGCACATGGAACATTCACTTCTTGTCGAATTTCGAGGAGAAATAACCGCCATGAAGGGCATCAGAGCAGCGACATTTCTGGACTCAATAAAAGCTATTGGAACTGACATGAACTATTGGGGCTCGTTAGTTGGGTCATTATCTACGATGCTAACAATCACCACAATAGGCACTATAGCCATTAAGTTAGCTAGATTGGGAGCATTATCCATAACAAAAAGAGCTGAAAGGGCATAATATAAAAATATTTTAATACGTAGACAAAATAATCTCGAATGCCCGCGATCTGTCAAGGGTGTGTTCCGAAATAGAACCCTGTATACTGGCCAATGCAAATGACGCCATATATCGACGCCATACTGGTGATTCGTTTCAAAACATCGGCCAGTATATGATATCATACATTTACGGCATTTTGGAAGTGTCGGCGATTACTTTATGTCATTTTGTGCTCTTAATTTGTGAAGAATGGAGACACCAGCAATAAATCTATATTTTTTTGTATTTGAATAAATAAAAATCAAATTCTCGTATGCTTAATTAAACGTACACTCAATTAAAAATTGTTTTAATATGCCGGGATATCCAACGCAATATGGCGGCGGCACGCCAGTACAATATGGCGTCAATTAATGTCATTTACATTCATCAGTATACTGGGAACGTTTCGGAACACAGCCCAATTATCACTTGAAAATTACGGCTAGCAAAGAAAATTAATTTGCCTATTAATGACGTAATTTTTTCGCTTTATTTAACTGAGTAGTATTACCAAATATGTATTGAACTCATAATTATTTTTATAAATTAATTTAAAATATTGATACTAGTTGGTGGAATATTTTAAATGCCTATATAAATCCATGTTCTATTTTTATAAGGGATAGCAGCAGGAATGATAATGATGACTACTCCGACAGTGATGATGAGATGAACGAAATTGAAATGCTAGATTCCGATTGAAACTTTTTCTTACATGGTTCTTTTGCATTTATTTGTAGATAAATATTATTTCAGAAATATATCTTTTGCTCACCCCACCTAAGTGGTTTAAATTAACAGTTATGCTGTCACTATATGCCGCCAGGTTAGTTCTATTCTTATTAGAATCGCATTAGTATTCACACTAAAAGTTGTTTTTGCCTGGACGCGTAAGTACTTATTCCATATTCAGCACTTACACGTGCCTTTTTCCGTACTTTCAAGATTCAGTAAGCATTTTGCTTGTACATTTCATCTCTAGAGATGATATGGCATACAGTATAATTCATGCAATCAGATTAAACTATGTAAGTAGTGGTTATGTGAATCTAACTGTATAAACAAACTATGACTGTATATATGTATTTCTAGTATGTGTTGCATTTATGTTCAGAATGCTCTCGCTTCTATATGATGGAGACAGCTAGTGCTAGCAAAACTACTATATTTTTAAGTTACATACAGCAAAATTCAATTTTCCGAAGGCATCACATTATGTATAAAAGTAATTTTTTACATTGTATACCCTGTTTTATGATAGTGGACAGCATGAGATGGATATGATTGATGTTACATACAGGTTACTCTTATGTTTGAACATCCACACAAATGTATCTACACATATCTCAAAGTATTGAGCTTGACGGATTTTGACATACGAGTCGTTATATTCTTCTTAGTTATGGAAGTAACATATCCGTAACAAAAAGCATGTGTAAGTGCTGAATATGCATAATAAAATAATTTTAATTTTTTTTACTTTTAAGTCAGTTTTTTTTACCCAGTTGAGTTTTTACAAATTACAGTTTTCAGCATTGGGCTTGTTGCTATTCGTATATTATTTTGTTGAGGGTATCGGTTCATCTCGACTCGAATGCCGATATTTATTTAATAGAGTGGAGTGAAAATATAAGGAGATTTACTTTTAAAGTGCTTATGGATGAGATAATGAAGCAGGTTCAATATCTTTTATGTATTATAGTTGTTGGAGGTGCCCCAGCACGAAATAATTTTGAAAATATTATATCATTCATTTTTTATTCAGATGTCCACTAATAATTTATTTTAATAGTATTTTATATGATTAAGTCTTACTAGCGACTGAAAAATAAATATTTCAGACTGAAAAGTTGAACTGTGAAAATTGATGCTTACTCATGACTAGACGTGTTTAGAAACAACTGGAGAACAAACTCAAAGATTTTTATAAAGTTTTGCATTAACGAACATTGACATGTTTTGGAATTTTTTTCAAAACTGCTCTATACGAGGCACCTCTAAATACAGACCTAGATAAATAAATGTTTTCGCGTACACGGCTTTTTGCGGGTATGCTAGTGAATATAAAAAATATTTTACGCCATCCTACTATTTAATGAAAAATTTGTATTGTCTCATATGTTGCATTATGCGTGGATCATACTGAGTGCGCTAGCGTGGAGAGGGCGGGGGTGTTCAGGAGCGGAAGAAGCGCACGGCGCGCACGACGTACTGCCTGCAGATGGGGCACTCGGCCAGCTGCTTGGAGCAGGCTGTGCAGGCGGCGATGTGTCCGCACTCCAGCAGCACGCACTCCAGCGGCGCCGCCATGCAGATCTTGCAGCACTCCTCGATCGGCAGGTTGTCGATGTCTGCAAATCGAATACAGTAGTCGAACGTTAAAAGATAATGCGACTGACATTGTACCTGTCTTTCTTTTGTAGTAGACAAGGCCCTAGGTCCGAAGGAATTTCTTAGATTTTTTAAAAGAAATATGTGGTTATTGTTGTTGTAGTGGCTGTTTTGTGTTTTGTTTTGTGAAACGAGGCATTCCATCTCAGTCCTCACGGGTGGCAACGCATCTGCATTTTGATTTGTAATCGAGGAGAATCACAGATGTCTGTGGGCCGCAGCAACCACTTACCATCAGGTGGACTGTGTGCTCGCTGTTTGTAAAAATGAATGTAAGTTTTTCGTGACGATGCCTTAATCTCTCAAACGGAAAACGTCCAAATTAAACCGCATCTATATTGCGTAAAAATTCAATAGGTCAAATGTGACCGCACCCACCCACAGCACTTTAACCTATCAATACTTGTGTTAGAGACTAAGAAGAAGTTTGGCATTATAGAATCAATATAAAATTTTCTATCCTATAGTGGAATAAAAAGTTAGTTACTTTATGAATATTTATTTATAATTTACATATATTTGTAATGAAAGTAGATAAGTAAGTAAGTAGACAAGTTTTTGTGTTAATATAATTTATCTTTTTACGTAAATAAATTCGAGTAATATACATAGAAATAATTGTGGTTTTCACGCTGCCGACATCCGCTTGGTTTTTTTTTTTTTATTATCAAAATACATTAAAATCTTTTTGTAATGAAGTAAAACCTGATTTTTGTTTAGACCACATGATAGAGAATTTTGTACATATTTTATAATGCCAAACTTCTTCATAGAAAAGTAGTCTCTAAATATAAGTTTTAATGGTTTAAAGTACTGTGGGTGGGTGTGGTCGCATGCGACCGCTCGGGATATGCCGCACGCATGCGACTGCATGGGATTTTTGTGGGGATTAAAGGGTTAAAAGAGGATCCTAGCACTTCGGAACATTCTTATTAAAACGCAAAAAATAGTTTTTTAAACGGTTTCTAAAATCGTACGTTTTTAGCGGCAATTGAAAAGCATTCATTTAAAACAAAATATTGTGTTTTTATGAGAGAGTATGAGCGTATAGGTTATATGACTTTAAACTCTGAGTATACTACGCTGACAACTCCGTGATAGACACGTGATCATTGGTAGCTCTAGTACCAAGACTCAACTACGGCTAGTATTCGACGCATCAGCCTCCACCAGTTCGGGCGTGTCCCTTTTTTTTTTCAGATTCAGATGGTCGGTCTCGTAGTGCAAGACAATCTGTTTTCCATTTGAATACGTTTTCGTCAGCGTAGGTACGTAGTCTCAGGTGATGTATAGATGTATAGAGCCATTGAGTTAAGTCCAGTTCAACGCCCTCTGCAAAAAATAATTTTTCAGTTTGATCTTTCATGACCTATATATTAAATACGGTCACTTATGGTACTGCTTCTTCTCCTTAGCCACAAAGTACCTGGCAATTCTGGCTGTTAGCATTGAGAATAGCCAGGTCCAGCGGGCCATACGACGTGACTTCTACGTGGATGACTATATGAGTAGGGTAAACAGTATAGGTGAGACTGTAGAAATTTCATTTAACTTACGCAAATGACGATCAAATTATCCTCGAATTCTAAATCAAATTACAAACAGCATCAAATACGTAGCATTTTTCTGAGCAAAGTTTAAATTCCTTTCGATATAAAACTTTAGGTTTTAACTGGGTTTGTGATTCTGATTTGTTGGCTTATACTATTAACATAAAGTCGACTACTAAAGTCACTAAACGTCACGTGTTTTCAGTTATCAGTCAGATCTTTGATTCATTAGGCCTCGTTGGTACGTGCGTTGTCGAAGGAAAATAGTCATGCAGCGTTTATGGCTACACAACTACGACTAGCACGACGAAGTAGCACTCGAGCTAAAAAACCTTTGCTCAACATTCGCAAAATACAATAACATCTTTAAATAATTTAAACATTCAACGCATGAAGTACACAACTTCACCGATCCGAAAAGCTTATGGACTTGTGTGTACATTTGGTCATGCAATAGCCGTAAATCTATTGGAGTACTACATATATTCCGAATGAATGTAAATACGTTGTCACTCATGAGGATTTTGACGGAATGTCTCGTAATCAGTAAAAAGGGTCTCCGGCTCACCATACGAAACACAGCAGCCATACAATACTATTTTCCGCAGGTATTCCGTGAGAGCGTGGTCCTGGTTGAGCCGACCCATTTGTGCTACAACTAATATAGCTGCAGCGTGGCTCTACCACGTAAAACGCTTGCGTTCTTTGACTCCGTTCATTGACGATCATAACCTCAGCTGCGTGGGCGGGGGCTTGATAACTCCCCCTACGTTTGCAGTGTAAAGTATCCCATAATAACGTGCAGTAATATTATTATGGGATGTTTTACACTAAAAATAACATACTTACTAAACTTATATTGCAAATGCAACATTTAGAGCTTCTACATGCTGTTCCTCAATTGCTATTGTCACATATAAGGCAGAAGGCAGGTGGTAGAAACATTTCTAGACTTATCGTGAATAATGCCTTAAATGTTTCAGGCATAACACTCAAAACGTTCAGTCGATAATGGGTCAACTACCTCAGTTAAGAACCCATCCTAAATTTCCATTTTTAAATTGTTATGTTGACTACACTGGGTGAGTATTGGTGGCTGATCGCAGTGGTCGCGACTGCAAACTTACAAAATCTTATATGCGCATTTTTGTCTGCTCTGCGTTAAAAGCCGTACATTTGGTGCTCGTCCCTGACCTCACCTCGGAGGCTTACATGGCCGCTCTAAATCGTTTTGTGGTGCGTCGAAGTAAGCCTCGAAGCATCACATCCGAACACGGGATGAATTTCGTAGCCGCACTAAACGAAATGCATAGGCTCTTGCATTCGTTGAGTGTTGCATCTGAAATAGCATTATAAGGTATCAAATTTGTTTTCATGCCTGCTTACAGCCCACATTTTAATTTATTAGCTGAAGCTGTTGTGAAATACTGTAAGCATCAATTAAAAAGATTCTTAAAGCTTACCCATTTTTCCTTTGAGTGCCTTACTCTTGCCTCCTTTCTCTTCAGACTCTAATGATTTTTCGGCATTTACTCCCTCTCACTTCCTGATTGGACGACCATCATTCATCATCTTATCTGTATCACATTCCCAGGTGACTGATGTATCACGCGGCTCGATCTCTGGTGGAGGATCTAGTACACCCGACAGAATTTCCGGAGACGCTTTCTTACTGAATACACCTCTCTGCTGCAGGCCAAATCTATGTGGTTTTATTTCAGAGGTGAAGTGAAGCCGGGGTCAAGGACAAGACAACACCACCGCTGCTCTGGTCCCTGGGTCGGGTCATGACGACCTATCCCGGCGTAGATGGAGTCACGCGGGTGGCTGAGTTTAAGACGAAGCAGCATCATTCGTCGTGCTTTCAACTACACCTGTCCTCTGCCAGTTGAAGATTTAAGGCGTCTCTTGAACCCGGGGAATGTGTCGGCGCACTTCGACGCGCCTCGGGCCATAACTACGGACGCGGGGGCGCGAGGGGGGTTCCTCACTCAACTGTGAGACACGGTAGCAGACGGGCATTTCACTTTTCAATATTTATTTTTTTAGATGTTTAACGGCATTAAATCTATTATTAATAAAGCCTTTATTTCTAAAAGTCCCGATAAGGCCTAAACAAGTAGAAGTTATGCTTATTGTTATTGTGATAGTTGTTGTCACTGCTGTGATAGAAAGTTATATATAGCGAATTAGTTAGTTTCGAATTATAAGCATTTCCTTTTATTTATTAAAATATACGAAAAAATACTGAACCAAATTGATAGCACTCTCTAGTACATTTTTCGGTCATTTATAATCCCAACGCCATTTATTACAGCGCAAAATAAACTTTCTTCATTTCGTCACCTAATAATATGTCAGAGTAGCTCATCTATGCTCTATATCTATGGTTAGGGCTGTTGTTATATTATGTTGTATGGAATAGTTTGGAATTTGATGTTTGTGGGTGTGATGGTTGTGGTTGTTGTGGTAGTTGTTGTTATTGTTGTAATGGTTGTCTTGGTAGTGATTATTACTAGAAGCGATGATCGTTACTCTAGTTTTGTGATGATGTTGGTGTTGTGATGGTTGTTGTGGTGGCGGTGATTTCGGTTGTTGCTGTTGTGCTAGTGATTAATACTGAGTCGGTTGTTATAATGGTAGTTGTTGCTATGGACCTTGGCGCAGCTGCTTGTGGTTGCGACAGAGCGTGCGCGCGCGCTGCAGCAGGTCGGCGCGCTCGACGCAGCCACGGAACTCCACGCGGTTGCGCCGCAGCAGCTCCTTTAGCTGCCGCACGCTCAGCTCCTCTAGGTCCGACTCTACCAGCTGATCCAGGTTTATGTGTGACGGTGTGTCTGCGGAACGACGTACAACGACACTTGATACAGACTTTAGAGGTATCTCAATCTCAATTCGAATAGTTTTGTAGATTTAAACTTAGTACATGTAAATATTTTGTAAGTCAAATACCTGTTGCAGCAGAAACAGAAACTGTGATAACCAAATGCTTAACCAAAGATTTAAGGGTACTGAGTATTAAATCAGTTATCATTACCGTTATAACTTATTAAAGTCCACTGGCGATCATACGCCTCTCCCATAGATCGCCTTATAGGGGGGATAACTGCCATAGTTACAACGCTCGGCAAGCGGAAACAAGTGGCTTGACAACTGCAGTTTGTTATTTTTAGTCATAATTAGCACGACGCTGCCCATTATCTCCTGGTTTGTTTCCCTCTGTCGTCTCTAATGACATCCACGGGATGTTATATATTATTATAGGGCAGGAGATATTCTTACACCGCCACTACACGGTAAAGTACACTACATGGTAAAGTGTTAAAAATATCATAAGAAATGTGAGCTTGCTTACTAGGTTCCCGGTCCATTAGTGGCTCATCCTGCAGGCTAGTGGTGTCATTATCAGCGGCGGAGGGGGAGCGCAGCTCCAATTCTGAGGAAGCGCGCTGCGGCGTTCCAGAACTTCCCGTCCCTCCCCCCACGCCCCACCGTCCACCCCCTCCAGGAGGCAGGTTGCCCGGGTAGCGTAGGCTACTTACGCCAGCTTCGCCGTTCTCAGACGCTGGTGACGTGCTGCTAGATCCTCTCAAACTGCCCTCTGTGGCAGCTAACAACACCTCCGAGTCTAAAATGTTAGTTGAATTATGCAGTGTGGATGACACGATAGAATAAGATGGAAATTTCTGGAGATCTAAGTGTCTATAGATCAGCAATATTATTCATACAAGAGACAATATCATCATCGTCATGATCATTACAGCCCATTACAATCTCACAACAGAACATAGGTCACTCTCAAGGAATGCCATACTTTATGTTTGGTCCTGAGCAACTTGCATCCATCAACTATCTGCATCTCTAATAGATCGTCACTCCAGTAGAGAGCCACTCTACACTCAATTATTCATCAATCCATTCATCCATTATAGCCGATTTACACTTCGACAAGTACAGTAGCGAGTTTAGTTACAGGGCAGTTGACAGTAATCGGTTAAGTGAACAGTAGTGTTCAAATGTCTTCGTGGTTACAATTTTATATTTTGAAGGTCAAACGCAAACACATTGCGTCCTGTAAACTTACGCACTGAACTCGCTCGTTCACACGAGCGGCGAGTTCAGTTACGGGTGGCGGGAAACGCGCGGGAGCGCAGCATTTCGCACTTAACTCGTTGAAAAATAGACCGGCCGGCTATCCCGTTCAACTTGATTGTTAACTTGCTACTTAACTCGCTAATTGCCGTTCAAATGAGATTTCTACTTAACTCGCCAGGTTCACATGGTAACTCGCGACTGTACTTGTCGAAGTGTACATCGGTCTTCAGAGCATATAAAAGTCCACAGCTGAAGTTTAGCATGCGTGCCACACCTAACAGGTGTGTCGGTGACTGCAGTTTTTTTATTATTTTGACTTGTTATCAGGAAGATGCTGCTACATATTTCTTGTTTCAGTTCACTGCTGCGCCTCTCACTGCGGATGTTCTTACACCAAAACTACGCAGGCTAAAACATTTCTTCCCTGAATAGATTATGTTTTGATGATGTTGGTGATACAACTCTTTCTTGATGTAATAGTATTGGTGATACAACCCTTTCTTGATGTAATAGCATTGGTGACACAACTCTTTCTTGATGTAATAGTGTTGGTGACACAACTATTTCTTGATGTAATAGTGTTGGTGACACAACTCTTTCCTGATGTAATAGTATTGGTGATACAACTCTTTCTTGATGTAATAGTATTGGTGATACAACTCTTTCTTGATGTAATAGTATTGGTGATACAACTCTTTCTTGATGTAATAGTATTGGTGATACAACTCTTTCTTGATGTAATAGTATTGGTGATACAACTCTTTCTTGATGTAATAGTATTGGTGATACAACTCTTTCTTGATGTAATAGTATTGGTGATACAACTCTTTCTTGATGTAATAGTATTGGTGATACAACTCTTTCTTGATGTAATAGTTTGGTGATACAACTCTTTCTTGATGTAATAGTATTGGTGATACAACTCTTTCTTGATGTAATAGTATTGGTGATACAACTCTTTCTTGATGTAATAGTATTGGTGACACAACTCTTTCTTGATGTAATAGTATTGGTGATACAACTCTTTCTTGATGTAATAGTATTGGTGATACAACTCTTTATTGATGTAATAGTATTGGTGATACAACTCTTTCTTGATGTAATACTATTGGTGATACAACTCTTTCTTGATGTAATAGTATTGGTGATACAACTCTTTCTTGATGTAATAGTATTGGTGATACAACTCTTACTTGATGTAATAGTATTGGTGATACAACTCTTTCTCGATGTAATAGTATTGGTGATACAACTCTTTCTTGATGTAATAGTATTGGTGATACAACTCTTTCTTGATGTAATAGTATTGGTGATACAACTCTTTCTTGATGTAATAGTATTGGTGATACAACTCTTTCTTGATGTAATAGTATTGGTGATACAACTCTTTCTTGATGTAATAGTATTGGTGATACAACTCTTTCTTGATGTAATAGTATTGGTGATACAACTCTTTCTTGATGTAATAGTATTGGTGATACAACTCTTTCTTGATGTAATAGTATTGGTGATACAACTCTTTCTTGATGTAATAGTATTGGTGATACAACTCTTTCTTGATGTAATAGTATTGGTGATACAACTCTTTCTTGATGTAATAGTATTGGTGATACAACTCTTTCTTGATGTAATAGTATTGGTGATACAACTCTTTCTTGATGTAATAGTATTGGTGATACAACTCTTTCTCGATGTAATAGTATTGGTGATACAACTCTTTCTTGATGTAACAGTATTGGTGATACAACTCTTTCTCGATGTAATAGTATTGGTGATACAACTCTTTCTTGATGTAATAGTATTGGTGATACAACTCTTTCTTGATGTAATAGTATTGGTGATACAACTCTTTCTTGATGTAATAGTATTGGTGATACAACTCTTTCTTGATGTAATAGTATTGGTGATACAACTCTTTCTTGATGTAATAGTATTGGTGATACAACTCTTTCTTGATGTAATAGTATTGGTGATACAACTCTTTCTTGATGTAATAGTGTTGGTGATACAACTCTTTCTTGATGTAATAGTATTGGTGATACAACTCTTTCTTGATGTAATAGTATTGGTGATACAACTCTTTCTTGATGTAATAGTATTGGTGATACAACTCTTTCTTGATGTAATAGCATTGGTGATACAACTCTTTCTTGATGTAATAGTACTGGTGATACAACTCTTTCTTGATGTAATAGTATTGGTGATACAACTCTTTCTTGATGTAATAGTATTGGTGATACAACTCTTTCTTGATGTAATAGTATTGGTGATACAACTCTTTCTTGATGTAATAGTATTGGTGATACAACTCTTTCTTGATGTAATAGCATTGGTGATACAACTCTGTCTTGATGTAATAGTGTTGGTGATACAACTCTTTCTTGATGTAATAGTATTGGTGATACAACTCTTTCTTGATGTAATAGTATTGGTGATACAACTCTTTCTTGATGTAATAGTATTGGTGATACAACTCTTACTTGATGTAATAGTATTGGTGATACAACTCTTTCTTGATGTAATAGTATTGGTGATACAACTCTTTCTTGATGTAATAGTATTGGTGATACAACTCTTTCTTGATGTAATAGTATTGGTGATACAACTCTTTCTTGATGTAATAGTATTGGTGACACAACTCTTTCTTGATGTAATAGTATTGGTGATACAACTCTTTCTTGATGTAATAGTATTGGTGATACAACTCTTTCTTGATGTAATAGTGTTGGTGATACAACTCTTTCTTGATGTAATAGTGTTGGTGATACAACTCTTTCTTGATGTAATAGTGTTGGTGATACAACTCTTTCTTGATGTAATAGTATTGGTGATACAACTCTTTCTTGATGTAATAGTATTGGTGATACAACTCTTTCTTGATGTAATAGTGTTGGTGATACAACTCTTTCTTGATGTAATAGTATTGGTGATACAACTCTTTCTTGATGTAATAGTATTGGTGATACAACTCTTTCTTGATGTAATAGTACTGGTGATACAACACTTTCTTGATGTAATAGTATTGGTGAACAACTCTTTCTTGATGTAATAGTATTGGTGATACAACTCTTTCTTGATGTAATAGTATTGGTGATACAACTCTTTCTTGATGTAATAGTATTGGTGATACAACTCTTTCTTGATGTAATAGTATTGGTGACACAACTCTTTCTTGATGTAATAGTATTGGTGACACAACTCTTTCTTGATGTAATAGTATTGGTGAACAACTCTTTCTTGATGTAATAGTATTGGTGACACAACTCTTTCTTGATGTAATAGTATTGGTGATACAACTCTTTCTTGATGTAATAGTATTGGTGATACAGCTCTTTCTTGATGTAATAGTATTGGTGACACAACTCTTTCTTGATGTAATAGTATTGGTGATACAACTCTTTCTTGATGTAATAGTATTGGTGACACAACTCTTTCTTGATGTAATAGTATTGGTGATACAACTCTTTCTTGATGTAATAGTATTGGTGATACAACTCTTTCTTGATGTAATAGTATTGGTGATACAACTCTTTCTTGATGTAATAGTATTGGTGATACAACTCTTTCTTGATGTAATAGTATTGGTGATACAACTCTTTCTTGATGTAATAGTATTGGTGATACAACTCTTTCTTGATGTAATAGTACTTGTGATACAACTCTTTCTTGATGTAATAGTATTGGTGACACAACTCTTTCTTGATGTAATAGTATTGGTGATACAACTCTTTCTTGATGTAATAGTGTTGGTGATACAACTCTTTCTTGATGTAATAGTGTTGGTGATACAACTCTTTCTTGATGTAATAGTATTGGTGATACAACTCTGTCTTGATGTAATAGTGTTGGTGATACAACTCTTTCTTGATGTAATAGTACTGGTGATACATCTCTTTCTTTATGTAATAGTATTGTTGATACAACTCTTTCTTCTGTCTAGGAGTCTGTGTGGTTAGGTATCATCTTACCCTTTTACCTACCGTCTAATAGAAACCCTTGCACTGCTGTGTTTTAGTCTGAAGAGTATAGAGAGCCAGTATTGTTACTAGGGTTGCCAGATGGTCGGGATTCGTTTGGATTCTCCCGAAATTTTAAATGATCTCCAGACTCCCGATAAAACTTAGAATCTCCAGACTAACAGCTCTTAGAAAAGAAAACGTATGTCCTTTCATTTAACCAAAGCTGAGTTAGCAAACAGACTGAGCTCTGAAGTAAATTGTTTGAGTTTCAAATGTTTTGTGAATACTGCTAAAGGATCCAAATTGGTGCACTCTACTAAAGTCCAATGCCAAATACACGTGGCAACCTGAAAATTATATTATATTATATTTTTGTAGTCTCATAATTTAAAAAAATGAACTTTTTATTTTTAATATTTATTTCTCCCGACACCAACCCCAAAATCCAGACTTTTTCAAAATTTCCGTATATTTTGTTCTTCCGATCGGGCAAAGCCAATTGTTGCAGACTGTGAAGTATTCCGTCTCTCCTCAGAAGCGATGACGCATCTGCACTACGTGCCACAACATCCATTTACCATCAACTGGACAGTGTGCTCGCACGTCACCCTTATACTTGCTTCTACGTCATAGCATTCCGCAAGCGCAGTACTCAAGTGCTGATATAAAATAGCACACTTTTTTGAATAAAACTACTTTTACTGATTTTATCGCGTTTAATTTACTTATTTTAATTCCCGACGTTTCGCCAACTTTCCTGCACCTATGGTCACGGGAGACTGAAGCAATTAACATCTCGATGTTGAGTGTTAGCCCGCGTGTGAGAAATTAAGAAAAAAACATCCTAATTTCAATAGTGAAGGAGACTGGGTAGTACCACCTGCTTGGGACCCTGTAATTAATAAAATTAAAACTAAACCCAAGCATATCACTGCAAGACTTCAAGATACAGTAAGTTCATTCTGCGTTAATCGGACCATAACTAAATAATTAAAAAGCTGAAGGTCCTCCAGGTTAATACTGACATCGGGACGTCAATTACCACGGTCCCGAGTGACATGGAATTAGAATCAAAGTAAATTATACGCGATAAAATCCGTAATAGTACATTACCATACAAGGGAATTAAAAAGCCGATTACTGAACCGTGTGAAGTTAGCGCTTGAGCAGCGAGTGCACTATATGTATGTTATTATATTGGTTATTTAAATTTATGTATTGTAAATTATTTTATAGTACAAGTGATTTAAATCCACTTTTTTAATTGATAAATTGCAGAATATTTAATGATTACTTACTGATTGTAAGCTGTTATTTAAAAAATAAAATAGTCCCGCTGGGTTTCTTCCTGGTTTTTCCCAGGACAGAGGTTTTTATCCGAACCAGTGGTAAATTAAAAAAGTGACTTTGAATAAGTATTATTTATAATCCATATTGAATAAATGAGTTTTTGTTTCTGTTTATACCTAAAGACAAAAATCGTGTCACACAAAGCAAGACAGAGAAGCAAGAGGAGAAGTTTTGTTACTAACAATAATACATAATACAGAGAATCAAAAAGTTTCAGTACAAAGGTAACAACATCAATATAAAGATTTAATGAAACGGGACCAAAGGCACCACGAGACTCGATTTACAGAAGTTTTGTATGTTCCAAATATTGGCAGTGAATACACAACGGTCTTATTTTTTTAGCAACTGTAATGTGACGGTAAATGGTAGTAATAGTAATTGTGTTTATAATAATTATTTTACATTAAAAAAATACAGTTCAAGCTAAAATGTACAAAAGATTTAAATGTTAACCAAGTTTAACCAAGTATTTCTTTATATTTCTTAGTCAACTTATATATTTTGTATGTAATTTAAAGTATTCTAATAGATGTTACTAATTAAAGTTCTATTGTTTTGTATTTATTATTATGTTTCAATAATAGTTTAAACTTTTAAAAATTATAAAGTATTATAAATTTTATGCGTGGCTTAAGTAAAACATACCGTACAATAATCGGCTAGTTAAGTCCCGCACGAGCGTGACTTAACGTGGTTTTAAGTCAAGGTATAATATAAAAGTAGTTTTATTCAATGTATAGTGTTTGCGTAAATATAAGAAATCATTATGCACACTTTTCTTAACAGGTAAACCACATGCTCGTTTGACTCTCCTCTATAAAAAAGAAAAAAGGATAAAATAGTTACCATTAGGCAATGGTTCGGCTGGCGTGGTAACGAATTCCCAGCCGGCATCATCCAGATCCTCGATCTCGAAGCAGTCGGCCGTATCCACTCTCGCGCTCTCCGACGAGCTGCTGCGAGATACAGCTGGCTCAGGGACCGGCGGTCGGATATCGCGCTCGCCACCTGTATATACCGACATCATCAATCTTTTCTTATCTTTCTTTCTTCTTTATTAAAAACTTTACCTCCACACTAGGATTTTCTTCTGTATCGTGGGGACAGTTTACATACATAAATTTCATAAGGACAAACATCCAGACCTGGAACAATTATTTGTAGGCCATACAAATACTTATTCCGTGCAGGATTCGAACCCGCGGACTCAACGCTAAGTCACTGTGCCATTGAGCTGTCAACTATCATCAGTATCAACTTTCAGGATGTGCTTAGACGGAGATGACTTTGTACGTGATAAAGCCACGCTATATCGCGAATGGGTTTGCCGTGACCGTGCAAGGTCCACGCTCGCATGGAATATCAGCTGAAAATGGGCTGTGTGTCTATAGACTAATAATGTCCTCTAGACCGAATTTCAGTCATGTCGACCGGCATTAATGATAACCATCAATCTGCTCAGGACTGGATTATAGTTCCCAAGCGCACATGCAAACTTGAAGAGGATAAGGTGTGGGACCCACGACTTTATGTGTTTTTCGAGTGCCGGGCGTGAAACATGGCCGATTTCCTGACTGCGAGCTGCTATTGAGAATTTCTAGACAGAAAAACATAATGCCTCATTTTTTGCTGGCTCATTGTTTCCGACCCGGGATTCGAACCCTTCGAAGCAGTCAAACAATTACAACCTATGTGCTTTAGCATCTATGTGCTCGCATGTCACCCTAATTCCTATAAAAAATGGATACAGATTTTTGGATTGCCATGTATTGGCCTGCTTAAGAGAATTCATCACCACATTTCGTCCCTAGAGTGTCTTGCAATCGCAATCGAAAGCTTACAGTACCCACGGGTAGACATGGGGTGATAGATTCGCAGACATACGGCCGTATATTATAATGGAAAGCTAGACTGACTGCATCATTGGTGGATTTACGACTATTAGCGTCAGCGCAACTGCTGATCATAAGGGCCCGGGTTTGAATCACGGGTCTGGCAAAATATTAGTCATTAGGTTTTTCTGTCTAATTTTCAGTAGCAGCCTAAATTTAGGAAATTGGCTGTATTTCAGCTCTCCTTGTAACTTGAAGTACGTAAAGCCATCGGTCCTGCGTCTGATTTCTCTCCGGTCGTATCAGATTGCCATCACAGTGGACTATCAAACTGAGAGCACACCTGTGCTTGTGCACACACTCACTCATTATAATTCTGTCATGCGCAGATAGCTTTTGCAGTGTTCATGTAGACTGACCACCATGACCGCAATTCGGTCTGGAGGAAATTATTATTTTTATATAGTGTTGTAATGTCAGTTACAAAACAAAATCCCAGAATATCTTCAGTTTGTCAATCAACAAGTTTAAAAATTCAATTAAAGATACATGTACAAAAAGGGTTATTATAATATGTATTATGGATTAACATGAACAACCTCTGATGATGGGATGTTCGCTACCATGCTAGTTCTATTATAATTCGTGTAAATTAATTTTAGGTACAGAATTATTGTAAAATTATATATGGTGTCCCAGAAGTCGATTTTATTGCATTGCAAATTGCAATTTGTGGATTTTAAACAACATAGACAAATAGGTCAATTCATTTTAAAGGCAACCAATAATAAAGAAATACTAATTTCAAGAATTATATGAGTACTAGCTTTCGTGCACGTGGAAGTCGGTCATACCGCGTTCACTATAGTAAATTTTGAGGATAAATGGTAGCCTAGGCTTTTTAATGTTTTCAGCTATCTGAATACCACATATCGGCAAAATCAGTTCAGTGGTTTAGCATTTCCTTTCATATCTTTTTCTCCCAAATAAGCCATGAAAGCGGGCCAGATTTTCGCATTAAAATAGAAAAGTATGAATTTTCCTTCTGCAATACATTTTGGCAGCGGATTATATTTTTGTCTTATATTTTCTGAAGTAAAATTTAAAATTGACATCATTGAACAATAGATAATAACACACACACACATACATATGTGTGTGTGTGTGTGTGTGTGTTATTATCTATTGTATAACTATATCATACACATACATATGTGTGTGTGTGTGTGTGTTCAGGCGAGAGGATTATCTTCAAATTCTTCACTCATAATGGATGGCGCAAATATGCGTCCATTACAACATAAAATATACAAGAAAATACGAAGTAGATCGTTAGCAATTCGTCGCAAACATATGGTACACTTCCCGATGTTTTTCTCAAAAATCCTATACCAACGATACAATACTTTGCTAGAGTAAGACCTTTTTACTCTTGACTTAACCAGTATTTTATAGACTTGTCTATAGATCATATAATATATAGGCAAGTCTATAAAATACTGCTATATATAATATATCATACATAAGACTTCAACTATACAGAAGAAGCTGGTTATTGTATGGCTATTAAAATTTATAATAAGCTTCATACAAGTTTCAAAGCCCCGCCATTACTATTGTTTAAAAGATAGTTACATTCCTGGCTTTTCACTAGGTGCTTTTATTCAGTCCAGAAATACTTAGATGACCAAGAGGTTTTTGAACTTTAATTGTGTTTTTAGCTTTTCTGTGTTTACTTTATTTTATGACTTGAATAATTTGACATAAAATATTATACAATTTATAAATGATGACAGGTAATGTTCTGTCTGCGAGTCATGTTTAACATTAGTTGTCTGTTTAGTCTATTAACTTATTTTTAGCTCTAAGTAGACTAAAATGTAACTACATTTAAATTTGCATGACAATTATAAGTCAATCATGAGGACATACCACTATGTTAACATCTTTGCACTACCATGTTCAAAGCAAATAAAAATAAAAATTACAAAGAATCAAAACATTTTTTCATTACATTATTTCTTCATTGAAATGTTATTTTTTTCCCAACCAAGTATTCAAACTTAATACTTTGCCCAATTTTAAATGACTGTACTGAAATATAAATAAAAAAAAAAAACTATAAAACTACAGCAACCTGTATGTCAAAAATAATAATCCCGCTGGGTTTTGCTGACTCTTTCCAAGACAGAGGTATAGTTTACTAAACCAGTATAAATATATAAAAAAAAATCAATAAGTATTATGTTATAATCTATATTGAATAAAAAAATTTCAAGTCTGTTTTTAAAAACAAATGTTATATAACATCTGTAGTATCTATAATAGTATCCAATTTATCTGTCTAAAGTCAAAACAAATTACTTGAATTACTTAGTAGATAGTGAATAATATTGTTACTAAATACATGTTGTATAATAAGAAGTAGTTGTCAAGCTAATGAATTTAGATAAAAGACTTCTCTATTATTACATCGAAAACAATATAAGATAGCATAATCTATGAAAGATATGAGGTTATTTTGTTGTTTACTACTCTCAACTATGATAACAAGCGGTTGCCATCAAACATATTTTACCAACAATTAATTATAATAGCATAAAAAAATTAAAAAAACATGTGGTAAGAATACCTGGTGTGGGTGTAAAGCGTCGGTCATTATCAATGACCCCAGGGCCTGGCCCACTTGGTGGTGTATGAACATGTGAGGAATTAAAGCAGCTGTCTGTAAACAAAATTTTACCGATGACTAATCAAACAATTTTTTTACTGAAACTAACAGAAAAAAAAGTGTCAGCCCACTAAAGTCTACAATTAGGCTTCCCCATAAATTGCTTCATATAGGGGATATTTGCCATAGTAGCCATGATTGTCAAGTCCGTTGGCATTTTGCTATTTTTTTTAAGTTGTTGCGTTGTTGTTGTACGCTGCTGCCCATCTCCCGATTTCTTTCCCTCTGTTGCCTCGTACGACACCCGCGGGACGATATGTGGAAGTGTAAAATATATTTTTTGTACCACTTTGATACTGCCCCCCTCTCAAAGATTAAGAATTAATTTAGAGAAGCCTTTGTTAATTTAAATACCAAAAGTGGTTGAAAAAACCTCCTAAGTAATTTAAAAGACCTATCTGATGTTAGCTCATTTTAAATGGAAGCCCGAAAGAAAACTTTGGAACTTTTGGAACCCTTATAGTTTCGCCATGTCTGTCTGTCCGTCTGTCCGTCCTCGCTTAATCTCTGTGACCGTTAGCACTAGAAAGCTGAAATTTGGTACCAATATGTGTATCAATCACGCCGACAAAGTGGTAAAATAAAAATTGGAAAAAAAAATGTTTTATTAGGGTAGCCCCCCCTATATGTAAAGTGGGAAGTGATTTTTTTTTTTAATTTCAACCCTAACAGGTGATATATTGTTGGAAAGGTATTTAAAAATGAATAGGAGTTTACTAAAATCATTTTTTGATAATATCAATAATTTCGAAAATAATCGCTCCAAAAGTAAAAAACAAGGTGTCCCCCCCCCTCTAACTTTTGAACCATAAGTTTAGAAAATATGAAAAAAATCTGAAAAGTAGAACTTTATAAGGACTTTCTAGGGAAATCATTTTGAACTTGGATGGAAACAACAGTACCCACTACTGGGAGCAGTTGCAGGAGCGCGGAGCGCTGCTGGAGCGCGAACATAATGGATACCCACCTTTAAACTCATAAGTGGGAACACTTATTGTGACGGACGGGAAACTACGGAACCCTACATTGAGCGTGGCCCGACACGCTCTTGGCCGGTTTTATTTACATAAATTCGGAAAAGTATGTATAATATCAATATTTTCTTATATATAATCATTTGCAGGTGAAGATCTAATGTTTGACATTTGATCATTATGTCAAATTCAATGATTGTACTGTTTAAAACATTATCTCAGACTGACTGCCTCGCTGGTCTAGTAATCGTAAACAAGATCGCTGATCATGAATGGGCTCCCGGGTTTGAATCCCAGATTGAATCAAAATCAGTTATTGGGTATTTGTATCAAGAAGTTTTAGTAGCACCCCAGAGTCAGGAAGTTGGCGATGTTTCAACCCCGTGCATCCAAAAGCACATAAACCCATTGGTCTTTTGCCTGATCTCTTCCCGGTCAGTCAGATTACTGTCTCATCAGACTATGAGCGTGAGCAAATAGAGAGCGCACTGGTGCTTGCACATACACTTGGGCGATACAATTCACCAAAGCATACTATACATAGAAATATCTATAAATAGAAATATGCATGTTTATAAACATAGTAATATTTTGTAACTCCTTATAATAATTTTCCTAGCTTTTCAAGTTTGATTAATATAATCCATTTACTTATCGACTCACAAAATAAATAAGTATGGAAGGCTACCAAATTTGTCATTTTCATAATTCATATATAAATAATGTGCATTATGAAGGTATACTCAGACCATTTCAGATTGATTTAGCAGCAATTATCTACAAGATTACCTGTAATTTTTTAGTAATTTCATCATCATCATTATTGGATAAAGGAATCTAGTGAGAGATCGCCCTACACTTCTTTTACTGGCATAGAAAAGAGAAAGACTTCCAGACGGCCATTGCCTTTCTCCCCATCAGAAGAATTCATCCCATAACGACCAGAAGGGCTATGTAGCAATTCCTTTATCATGTAGCCAATGACTAACATTAACATAGAAGCTAAGAGGTAACAAACTCAAGAGGAGCAGTAGTATCTCACTGCGAGCAGGAGGCGGCTCGTTCTGAGGTGCACGTATGTCAAATGCAGAATTCAGGAAGTCATTGATGTTGTTGGTGAAGCCCTTCAGTGAGCTGAATGCACCGGTACGTGGCCCGCGGCGTTTATACGCTGTGCTGTTTACGTATGTCACGCACAAGCTCACAAGTTCCTCTTTTTCTGTAAAATAAGATACCATATGAGATAACTATAAAATGTCATATAAGAGCATTTCAACTGTTTAACTATTGTGCCCTTTATGCGGACACTGAAATTGTTAAATTATTATATATCATGTTAAGTATATTATAGTTAACCTAGTATTGCAATTTAAAAAACTAAGTAAATAAAAATAGTCCATCTATCAATCAGCATTTTTGATATAATTGCTGTTAGCAATTATCTGCAGTCAATAATATCTGTGGGTGTCGTAAGAGACGACAGAGGGAAACTGTGGTTGCCAACCTGCTTACTAAGCGTGCCAACTATGGCAAAATTCCCGCACGAGGCAATCTATAGGATAGCCATATTGAGCTTTTTTTTATAACATAAACACTCACGTCTGTTACCCAGAGGGGTAGGCAGAGACATCAGATTTCCATTTGGCACGACCCTGACACACCTCTCTCGCCTCCTCCACATCCATATACCTATGCATACATGCTCATTGGTTAAGGGTACTCCTAATTTGGCCCATTTTCAATATATCCCCAATCTGGTTTCCAGAACATTTTAAAATTTGTCAAGGAGTTTATCTGTTCTTTCTTGCTTTTTCCTTTCAACAACTTCTTTTACTCTTCTTATTTAGATATCCAAAGAATGCCTTTTTTTTCAATATCATCATTCGACCGTCAGAATTACCAGCCTTTGTTCTGTAAATCTACCCATGCTTTCTTCTTTGCTTTAACTTCCATATTTACCCCATCATCCCACCATAACATATTATTTTCCCTTTCATTTGTTCTCTTACTAACAACACATACTTTGGTAGCTGGTAGCTGCATCCACCAAGCCTTTCTTAACATTTTGCCATACATCCTCGAAGTCTATCTCATTCATACACAATTCATCCAAACCACTTATTTTTCTTTCAGTCTACATTTGTACTTGTTTGTGGCATTTTTTAAATTACTTAACTGAATTTTTTTATTTTACCAGCTTCAAAAAAAGGAGCAGATTCTAATTCAGAAATTTTTTTCAGAAATATAACATTAAAAAATATTAGAAAGGGTTAATTCATGGATGGTCCCATATAAATTTGGTCTGCAAAAACTTAAAAACATGCACAATGTTATGCATATCTTCGCAAATACATGCACATCATTGTGTATATTTTTAAATGATGATGTGCTCGGCGGTGTAGGAAATCATTGTTAGAAAATTTGCTGAAAGACATGTGAAGTCTGCCAACATGCACTATAGCAGCTGAGGGCTGGGACACATAAAGACTGCAAATTAGCGATGTTCGATGATCATCGATGTTCAATAATCATATTATAAGTATCACGTTATATACACAATATATGTACACTATAGGTACACATGCAAAAACATCGATCATTATCGCCATGGCCAACATCAATGTTTTGAGGAGGACAAACATCGAACATTGATGTTAAGCTATTAATACCAACATTGACGTCATCATCAATGATCATCCCTACTGTAAATTTACCTTTACTTGATTGGCAAAGAAGCTGAACATCAACAAATTTGCAGTACATCTTTAGATGACTGTGAAGCTGAAAATTTCCATACAATAAGCAATAATGTTTTCCCCCCGTCATAGTCTAATTTTTGGACATGTTGTAGATATAATAATAACCTAGGTCTGCAGATTTATATTTTAAAGAAATATTAGATACAATATAAGTTATTAGCATCTAAATATTTATATCTGACTTAAAAAACTTTCTCAAGCATTTTTATTTCATTTATTTAAACAAAACTGAATTACTAAAAAATAAAAAGCGTACAGACCTAGATTAAGGTGTACTAAATTTAATGAGACTAAAATTGTCTCATTTTGTACAGGTTGAAGGAGGTGAAAATGTTATAGTCTGAAACAATACAGAGCGAGTGGTATGAGACATATAGCATTGTTGAAAATACCTACTCATGTCATGAATCCGCACTTAACAATCCTCTAGTGAAGCAACTAAACTAGCCTATATACCTGCGGGCATCTTCACTAAGTATTAGGACTCTCTTTTTATCTAGGAGTCTATCTGGGTACATACCCTCTTACTTATTTTTGCCGTCTGGTCCGTTAGTCTGTTTGTTACTTCAGTTTTATAAAATAACCTAAATAAACAAGGCTACTTTTTACTATATGGTAGAGCCATGCTGTAGCTATATTATGGTTGTAGCACGAATGGGTCGGCTCGACCGGGTTCTCACAGAATACAAGCATAAAATAGCAGCTTAATACAGCTGTTTCATATGGTGAGTGTTGAGATCCAGAGACCCTTTTTTACTGGAAACGAGGCAATCCATCTTAGTCTTAAGAGGTAACAACGCATCTGCATTTTGATTCGAGGATAAATGTAGATGTCTATGAGCCACAGCATCCACTTACCAATAGTCGGTCTGTGTGCTTGTTCGTAACCCTTATTATATAAAAAAGGCTATGGGACGCATTGCCCCCTAGAGGACAAGACTAAAATGTCTTGTGGTTTGTTAGGCTGATTAAGTTTTCTTTTTTTAATTTGACTACAAATCCACGATTTTAAGTATTCAACAACTACTTTGCTATAACTATATAACTTAGTACTTTTAATTGTAGTGAATATAATGATACAAATTCCTGTAACTATGGTGCAATGCCTTTAAATACATATACTTCACAAATCAGATGGCAACAAATGAATGCCTGAGTACAATTAGATTACTATAGAACTCAAGTGATAAAAAATGGACAGTGAAATCGGAAGGTTATTGTGTCAATTTTGATAGTAAACACTTACCAAGAACCATTATAAAAACTTATATGATTGAAATGTTTACGTACCGACGCAACCACGAGTGGAGACATTCTGGCGTTGTAAGAAACATTGCAAGTCTCGGACTTTTAAGTGGGTTATTGTATGACGAAATAGAGGTCGAGTGGAGAGAATCCTGCAGGGTGCACACATAGTACCACCACCGCGACGAAGACACCCTCCACAATAGTACCGTTCGCATTCCGAACAGGCTCGTTTTCGTCTGAATACACTAAATTGAAGGGCGCAGCTCTCGCACGGCATTTTACAGCACTCACGTCCTACCTTTACCATCTGACATACTAATACTAAACATGAAAAGGCACTTCACCAATTTATTTGAATTTATCCCGAATACATCAGGCTGTAACACAGTTCTGTATTTTTATGAGATTTTAATAAAAAAGGAACCAAAACATTATTCAACTGCCATCATGTAAAGCAAAGCGATAAGCGACGTTCCGTTTAGACTTTAATTTGTCACTTTGTCACAGATATACAGAAATAATCTCTTGATGCAAATATTAGGTACATTTGTTAAACGGAACGTGATATGATTTTGTCTTAAGTGTCTCACAAACGGCAGCTGTAATATATATTGTACATTACATCCCCGGACCTGTAATTTAAAATTATGCCATCAAAAACATAACTTGTAAAAAAAACCAAGTCTCGCAACTCAGTTCTTCTACCGTAAAAAAATTGTGAGATCCATGTAATACCAAGTCGGTTTATTTATTTAGTCCCTACTTAAGGGTCCTTCTGTTTTAAGTTATTACGTAATTAGCTAACCCAACAAGGCTGTGTAGTGGCGGTTAAGAATATCCACTACCTCATATCTTCCCGTGGGTGTCGTAAAAGGCGACAGAGGGAAACAGGCAGGAGATGGGCAGCAGCATCTTCCTGATAACAGCAACTGTACAACAAAAAAAAACTGCGGTTGTCAACCCGCTCGCCAAGCGTGGCAACTATGGCAATATAACCCCCATGAACAATTACACAAATAGACGGCCCCCAGTCCCCGGCGGCCCCGCTATTCCTGGCTACGGTGGCGACCATGGTAACGGCGGGGCAGGGGGTGCTAAGAATCTCCGGTGGAGGTTCGGTTGCCACCTACGACGACTCGACCTGGCAACATTTAACGCACGCACCCTGAGGAGTGACGAGAAGATCCTGGAGCTGGAAGAAGAGATAGACAAGTTGCGCTGGAATATTATAGGATTATCCGAGGTCCGAAGAGAGGGGGACGACACGGTGATTCTCGAATGCGGCAACTTGTTCTATCACCGGGAGGGCGACAATCTGTCCCAAGGAGGTGTCGGATTTATCGTCCACAAGTCTCTCGTTGTAAAGATTGGGAGTGTGTCGACGAGGGTCGCGTACCTGATACTCAGAATCACCAAACGGTATTCGCTGAAGGTCATACAGGTTTACGCACCAACCTCGGCACATCCCGATGAGGAGGTGAAGGAAATGTATGAGGATATTTCCAGAGCCATGCATTCCTCCAAAACCCACTACACGGTGTTGATGGGAGACTTTAACGCAAATCTAGGCACAAGAGAAAACGGTGAGCTGAAGTTAGGGAAATTTGGAGTAGGGCAACGGAACCGAAGGGCCCAGCAGCTGGCCGATTTTATGGAGAAAGAGGGACTCTTTATGATGAACTCTTTCTTCCAGAAGCGGCCCCACAGAAAGTGGAACTGGTCGAGCCCCGACGGTTCAACAAAAAATGAGATTGACTTCATTATAACGACCAGACGCCAACTAATCAGTGATATCTCAGTGATCGCAAGGGTGAAAACTGGCAGCGATCACCGAATGGTTAGAGGCACACTGAACCTAAACGTTAAGTTGGAGAGGTCTCGTCTAATGAAGTCAACGCTCCGTCCCCCTCGTGCTCTAATTCAGAATCCCGAAAACTTTCAGCTCGAGTTACGTAACCGCTTTCAGTGCCTACAAGATTGCAATGCAGTGGACGATATGAATGACAAGCTCGTGGAAACTGTCCATGCGGTCGGAGCTAAGTTCTGCAAGATCCGCCGCAGAAGAACACAAAAACTCTCCGATCACACTCTTAATCTCGTGGCTGTTAAACGGGAGATGAGGCTGCAATCGTCAACAGATTTGACAGCATACAGGCAACTGAACAGACAGATCTCCAAATGCATGCGGCGAGACTTACGCAACTTTAATACTGCTCGTATTAAAGAAGCGATCGAGCGGAACCAGGGCTCCAAAGTCTATGCCAGAGATCTGTCTGCCAGTAAGAGCCAACTGTCAAAGCTGAAGACTGAGTGATGATGATGTATTACTTGTGATACATTGTGTTTTCATGCGATGGCTAAGTCAATCTATTTATTTGAAACATAAAAGATTTTTAACATTGATATGGTCACTATTAAATGTTGTTCATCATCATCATCATTACAGCCCTTCACAAGTCCACTGCTGAACATAGGCCTCCCCCAATCCATAATATTATAATATTAAAAATAAGTAATGCAACAAAGCACGGTACTGAGCCACCTGCATCCATCGACTTCCTGCATATCTTACCAGGTCGTCACTCCATCTAGTGGGGGGTCGCCCTACACTACGTCTACCGGTACGAGGCTACCACTTGAGAACCTTTCTTCCCCATCGGTTATCGGTTCTTCGAGCTATATGGCCGGTCCATTGCCACTTCAGTTTACTAATCCGTTGGGCTATGTCGGTCACTCTGGTTTTACTGCGGATATCCTCATCTCTGAGTCTATCACGCAGAGAAACTCCGAGCATAGCCCTCTCCATAGCTCGCTGAGCGACCTTGAAGGTCCTCGCCCTTCAAGGCAAGTGAAGGACTACGTCTCAAATCCGTAAGTCATCACTGGCAACACGCACTGGTTTTACTATCTAGTTTAAGAGATTGAGGTATACCTGACGAGAAGATATGTCGTAATTTCCCGAACGCTGCCCAGCCAAGTTGAATCCGTCGATTGACCTCTCGGTCGAAGTTGGACTTACCTAGTCGGACTATTAATTTGTCCCAGGTAAACGTACTCGTCAACAACTTCGAGCATAGTGCTCCCAACAACTACCAGCATAGGTGTGACATGGACATTAAACATAATCTTTGTTTTTTCCATGTTCATCTTAAGACCTATCCGTTGGGAGGCACTATTGAGGTCATTGAGCATAGTGCTTAAGTACTCCAGCGATTCTGCCATAAGGACTATATCGTCGGCAAATCGAAGGTGAGTGATGTACTCGCCATTGATGTTAATACCGTATCCTTTCCAGTCCAGTAGCTTGAAAACGTCTTCCAATGCAGCGGTGAAGAGTTTCGGGGATATAACGTAACCCTGTCTTACACCTCTCTGCAGTTGGATAGGTTTCGAGTTCTGGTTCTGTACTCGGATAGCCATCGTAGCCCTACTGTACAAATACTTCAGCACTTCGATATACCGACAGTCAACTTGGCACCGCTGAAGGGACTGTAGCAGCACCGCCCAAATTTCGACGGAATCAAAGGCTTTCTCATAGTCCACATACACCAGGAAAAGTGGCAGATTGTACTCCTCAGTCTTCTGTACAATCTGCCGCAAGGTACGTATGTGGTCTATGGTACTGAAGCCTTTTCGGAAACCGGCTTGTTCGGGAGGCTGGAAGTCGTCGAGTCTGCGTGCGAGACGATTCGTAATGACTCTCGAAAACAGTGCGTAGACGTGGCTCAGAATGGAAATCGGTCTGTAGTTCTTCAAGAGAGCGTTGTCGCCTTTCTTAAAGAACAAGACCACCGCACTTCTGCTCCACGCCTCTAGAGTAGTGCCACCATGGAGGACGGAATTGAAGAGCTTCTGAAGAACTTGAAGTACCGGTGTTCCACCCGCCTTCAGAAGCTCCGCTGTAATTCTCTCCTCGCCTGGGGCCCTGCCGTTTTAAGGTGCTGGAGAGCCATTCTAATCTCGCTTAGACTGACGTCCGGGATATCATCGGAATAGTGTCGGATAAGACTTGCTCTTGGATCGTTACTCACACTTGCGTGTGGCTCCAACGATGATGTGTACAGCTGCCCATAGAACCTCTCAATCTCACTCAAAATCTCAGGTGTCCCGGAAACGATGCTGCCACACTCAGTCTTCAGCTTTGACAGTTGCCTCTTACTGGCAGACAGATCTCTGGCAGAGACTTTGGAGCCCTGGTTCCACTCGATCGCTTCTTCAATACGAGCAGTATTAAAGTTGCGTAAGTCTCGCCGCATGCATTTGGAGATCTGTATGTTCAGTTGCCTGTATGCTGTCAAATCTGTTGACGATTGCAGCCTCATCTCCCGTCTAACAGCCATGAGATTAAGAGTGTGATCGGAGAGTTTTTGTGTTCTTCTGCGGCGGGTCTTGCAGAACTTAGCTCCGACCGCATGGACAGTTTCCACGAGCTTGTCATTCATATCATCCACTGCATTGCAATCTTGTAGGCACTGAAAGCGGTTACGTAACTCGAGCTGAAAGTTTTCGGGATTCTGGATTAGAGCACGAGGGGGACGGAGCGTTGACTTCATTAGACGAGACCTCTCCAACTTAACGTTTAGGTTCAGTGTGCCTCTAACCATTCGGTGATCGCTGCCAGTTTTCACCCTTGCGATCACTGAGATATCACTGAACAGTTGGCGTCTGGTCGTCATAATGAAGTCAATCTCATTTTTTGCCGAACCGTCGGGGCTCGACCAGGTTCACTTCCTGTGGGGCCGCTTCTGAAAGAAAGAGTTCATCATAAAGAGTCCCTCTTTCTCCATAAAGTCGGCCAACTGCTGGCCCCTTCGGTTCCTTTGCCCTACTCCAAATTTCCCTAACTGCAGCTCAGCGTTTTCTCTTGTGCCTAGTTTTGCGTTGAAGTCTCCCATCAACACCGTGTAGTGGGTTTTGGAGGAATGCATGGCTCTGGAAATATCCTCATACATTTCCTCCTTCTCCTCATCGGGATGCGCCGAGGTTGGTGCGTAAACCTGTATGACCTTCAGCGAATACCGTTTGGTTATTCTGAGTATCAGGTAAGCGACCCTCGTCGACACACTCCCAATCTTTACAACGAGAGACTTGTGGACGATAAATCCGACACCTCCTTGGGACAGATTGTCACCCTCCCGGTGATAGAACAAGTTGCCGGATTCGAGA